AGTTTAAAAAGAGCTGCATTTGAACCTTTTAAAGAAGCCACCGAGCAACTGAAGGACCCGAAAATCGACGCTAACCCTTTCAATTTAACGGTTCCTCGAGCACTCTCTATGAGGCAGAGACGTAGGCCGATACTTGAACTACGTCAAGAATACTCAATGCTACTCACAGAGCGCTTGAACAATGTCATATAGAATATAACCGGCATTCCTGATATCTAGCCGGAATGCGAAGATCTGGTCTTCGAATTTTTTCACATCTTAGGGATCCTGGGGAATATAAATCGATAGCGAAGCACAGATAGGAAGGTCACATAATGAGAAGAACGGTTGGCAGATGGGCGAAAAGGACTGCAGCGTCGCCACCACGAGTATGAAGGCGTTGCCTAGGAAGGCCGCCTACAAGTTGGGCAGACGTTTTCGTAACCAAACTTAATCGGCTGTACTAGCAGCTGTATTTGTTCTACAGATCACGGTATGAGACTCGCATGCGCTACCATGCTCGAACAAGATTACCACCATGGACGACGACTTCGAGGGAAAGAAACGAATGGTAAATGTGTTGGGGTCCGCACAACTAGTGAAGATGGACCGTTCAAGTATCCAAGTACTTGGATACTCGAAGTAAGTATCCGGGCAAGTGAAATTATATTTATGACTTGCAGAAGCAACATGTAGATATTCAACAAGAGTTGACGCTGTACTGTTTGTTAACTAACTACTATTAACTTCTTTTTTGATGAAGACTTAGTATCAAAGCGCCAAATTTTGATGTAAATCAAGATTTCAAGAGTGTACACATTCGCACTTTCGGGGCAGACTTCTAATCAGAGCTTTTATAACTTGAAGAGGTTCATAGTATCGTTATTCGCTCAAACTAGAATGCACTACACCTATAGCTGGATAGATAAATTCTTGATTGATTTACGAGTTAATCTCGTCGACATCGGAGCAGCTTACAAGTAGGCTTTCTAAAGATGATTAAGGTTGTTTTTCTCAGAATCCTAGATTTACTAATTAACCGCACCTCGAACAGTTGAGCTTTTCTCACATAAATCTGTCTGCCATTATAGTTCAGAAGAGCGACACCTCTTTGTCTAACATAGTTGTGATCATTGCCGTTAACTTTTTCTTATCTGTGATTTCAATAGAATTTCCGCAGTGTTTTTCAACTTGACAGCGCTGTGTAGAACGAACCCACGGCTGGGTATCGCAATTACAAACACCACAACCTTCCTATGATCAGTTGAAAGCCGTAAATGAACTTGTGTAATTAAACGTGATATTTCGTAGTTCATGAAGTATTATTTGCCCCTACCTGAATTGTTTTGACCTAATCTAATTTGCAATAACAAATCCTAGTGGTCTTCTGTGCACTAACATTATATTAAGGAATAAAGCACAGCATGCGCGTCTTCTGTGTGCTACTTGACGAGTTCACTCACATAAAGTAATCGGTCTCACCAATAAAAAAAAACTGTTTAGTCAATGCAACGGCACGGATTTTGGCAACGGCTGCTATTGTGTGCGCTGCTGTTTTCACAAGTTCTGTGCTCGATCCTTCCGTCCAGTTACATGCGTTATTTAATACAAAGTAAGTTCACTATGGCTATTCAAAATAATTCCCACGCTGCCAGTTTCCCTAACCTTCTGTTACATCTTTCTGCCTTCTACTCGTCCCATAACTAGACTCTTTCATCGCATTCGCAGGAAAAAATCTTTATGTTTTCCCTATTTCGTTAGCATAAAAACCAGACTTCTGTCGATTATTTAGTTTATCATTCTGAGAGAAGCAACCTCTGTAAGTAATTTGAAAACGCTAAATATCTAGCATATTTAAAAATTACTAAAGCTGATGTTAAAGTTTGTTTGAAGTCAAACGAATATATCTTTTATAAAATTCTTCGGTTTCCGCCTGCTAATATCGTAAATTGGAGAGTGGAGTAGCGCAATAGCCAGTGATACAGCACATCAGAAGCATCGTGTTCGTTCGACCCCTAACCCATGCTCTTGTCCAGTCCATGTGGAAACGCCTTAGCCTGGCTATCCGCGAGATCGCAATGGGAATCAAGTCAACCAGCATTCCACGACATGCATAAGGATGTCAAAATCTGCAAGCAAACGCCGAAATAACGAGAACTGACTTTAAAAAACCGACTTTGTGTAAACTTCGGCATTAATAACCGAAAATTGCAAATATATGAACAATGTGCAAAATTCCAGGTGGAAGCGCAGAGTGATCGACAGGAGTGTATACTATGCATTTTGCTTTCGGTAGTTTAGTTTGATGCACAGAACTTCTGTTGCCATAATTTATGTATTCATTGCACAGCGCATTGGTCGTAGGTAAATATATCAGGTACGAAAAGAAGAGTACTCTTCCTTGAGCTTAATATTTTACGAAAACTGTTTCTCAAGTGAGTTTTGTCCGTCAAACCAGCTGTATTTTATGTACGAAATACGAATACGAAATTTAAGAAACACTTCCTACGGATAAAAGATGGTAAACATTGGGAAGACTTGTATAGATATAATTTTATTGCTCAAAATTGCCAAAATTACTATCTGCTGTATTCCTTTTGATTGCTCAGCCTACGCAAGGCTGTTATAGAACTTCTATTCGGCTAACCTTGAAAGAAGGTACAGTGATTATTCATACTGCGGTTAAATGAAAGTCAATTTGTAGGATTATTAACTGCGTCTGAGAAAGGCCGGTCACCCTAAAGTACGTGATCATCGACGTGGTTCCACTCAGGTCCTTCATCGAAAACACCTCTCCATTTTTACTCTTTTAGTCCTTCACAACGCTGTCTTCAATATCCACTATTCTGTGACCTGAAGCATCCACAAATTACCAGTTTACTCTTTTATATGTGCAACCTACACTTTCAATCCTTGCGACAAACATTTTTACATGTAATTAACAGCTCTTGAATAGAAGTTACGCTTCCCATTTGCAGTCGAGGATCCTCACCTAAAACGTTAACTTCGTGCATAACTTACTTGTTACCAGAACGTTAACTTCATGCCCTAAAATCTTTACATTGTACATCTCTAATATTATGCAATCAACAATTCACGAAGCATTCCTGTATACATTCAACGTTACTCAGTACAGTTTCAACCTTTTCTCAGCTGAACAGGTCAACAATAGGCTCTACTCACTACGGAATGAAAAATAGTGCAACACTTTTACTAGATATCTTCTTATTTTCACTGCTTGTGGAAAAAAATGGTCAAGAGTAACTTGCCGAAGTTTTCCAAAGCGTAATTTGACTCTACGTGGTGACTTCAGATAGAAATTTGTTACTCCACAGGTTGAATGGACATTCAGGAGTTAAAACCTTCGCTGGACATCGGAGTACCTATAAGAGCGCAACTCAGCTATGATGAACAGACCTAGCATTGTGGCCTAATACATTCACTAAGTACTCTTGCTTTCCCATTCTATTTCCCTATGTCAATAAGAACTTTTAAGAGATGAATAAAATGGGAATAACAGCAAGTAAAAAGTTATGCCCTGCAGTGAATATTGATTCTTTTTCAGCAGCACAAGAAGAAAGGATTTTGCCATCGTCTATTGAGGAAGGATTTATACAGCCATCTTTCTTAAGAGTAAGCAGGAATGAGGTAAGAAAATGTGTGGATAGAACAACAAAAGCGCTTAATTAGTCACGCTTCCGGTTTCTGCTTTAAATTGTGTTGTTTGTTTAATCGCATGTTGTAAATGTCAATACACAAGAATATAGACAAACATTACGATCAGTTTTCTCAAAGGTACCTATAGCTTTTTCAACATTGTTTCTATCCATCTTCGCACACTACTATATGGCACTGTTGGGAAATTACACATTTTACCAGTTTTGTAGGAAATACCGACTTTAGCAGTGCTAGCGAACACAGGCAACATCAGTTTCGAAAAACAACATGAAATATTTCGAAACCAACTTTCCCTGAGCCTCGGTGTCACTAATCAATATGTATTCTTTCTCTGATGAGCTTACACGAGGTTGATAATGATGTTTATTTTCGGCTAACGTTTCGACGTCTTCGTCTTCCTCAGAGCCGATGATCCGAGTCGATGGTCCTCGCTTGTTATTCGTCTCGACGTGGCAGCTTCGCCTTCGTGTCGAGTCAGGTCTTCTTATTATTACGCTTTGAAATATTACTACGCTTTGTGCTAGCTGATAACAACACCGACTTCTGCACGATGTGCGCAATGATGTATTTCCGGAAAAAAAAAACAAGTTGTTATCACCGGACATTATCATTATATCGACCATCAGCATCGTGTATAAAAGGACATCACTGAGTGAGGATGCCTCATTCGAGGAGATGGCTCACTGAAGAAGACCTAACTCGACACGAAGACTAAGCTGCCACGTCGAGACGAATAACAAGCGAGGACCATCGACTCGGATCATCGGCTCTGAGGAAGACGAAGACGCCGAAACGTTAGCCGAAAATAAACATCGTTATCAACCTGGTGTAAGCTCATCAAAGAAAGAATACAACATGAAATCTTACTTTCGTTGAGCAAGTTTTTCCTTCTATGCCACCAAAGACTAATTACTTTTATCGATTACAATTTGTATAGCATCTCGTAAAAACTTTAAGCCTACTCATTTTGACCAGAAGAAGATGTTTGCTTCCCATTTAAGTTCTTTTATTGGCCTATCAAGATTGTTATCAAAGACATCGGAACCACCTCTACTGTATCACCTGACGTACCATTGATCATCGAGTGGCTGGAGGGTGTGTCAGTAAAATTCTGTTCAACACTGTCGCATACAAGAGGAGCGTAGTGGGTTCTACTCGCTTAAGAAACATGGTGAGCATCATATCAAACTTCTACAGTTTTCGTGAACAACTCAGACCATCGAGTGCGTGATACTACTTTTGCTGTGGGGTTGATATCCCGTCGAATACTGTGCCTACCGCTGCCTGTTCATCGATAGTCGTTCACGCGCATTATATGCCTACCTCACTTTATTCTCCACGGTTTAGACGATGCTTTGATTTCCGGTTTTTGATTGTGACCTGGTCTGATGTTGATCTCCAATGATGACCTTGAAGAATGTATGATCTTCTCTGTAGAACACCAAGCTCATACTGAACGCTTCGACTTCTTCTTCGTCATAGCTTGATGTCGGTGCGTAATCGACGAGGATTGTCAAAGCCGGAATTGGTCCACATCTTTTTAATCGTAAACGACCGATTCTGGTTGTAAGCTGTTCGAATGAATCGATGTTCATGGACAAACTCGTGTTGACGAGCACGCCGACGCCGCCGACTCCTCTACTGTCGCATGTTCCAAGGAACGGTTCTTCTCCGGTGTCACAGACGGCGTTGAATGCGTGGCGTCGTCTCCTCTAGGCCAGGCCGATTAGCCGGCTGTTGGCAAGATGCCGTTGTCGATAACATTGTCGAAGAATACCAATAGGCTCATTCAACATCTCCAAGTTAGCGCTATGAAAGCTGAGAGTTCGAAAGTCACCGAGAGACGTCTGCCTCCTGAAACACTTGAGCTGATACGACAGCGTGAAACCGGACGAGCTGCAGGCAACCGCGAACTAACGTCTACACTTGCAAAACAATGCAGAGAGGCGATAAAAGAAGATCTTAGAGAGAGAAGAGCAGCAGTAATGGTCGTAGACGCAGAGGATGGGAGAAGCATTCGCAAAGCTCACCGAAGCTTCGCCGATTACAAGGCCAAGATGGAACAGTTACAGCGTTCAGAAAGGCAATGGAGAAAATCATTGATGAATACTACTCGGATCTCTTCAATAGCCACGTCCACCTCCTGTCATGTGAAATAAAGGAGGATGGATATGCTGTACCACCGGCTCCCTCTTCCGAAATCTGACAAGCCATTTCGTCGGTGAAAAATCGAACAGCGCCAGGTCCGGACAAGATAAGATCAGAACACCTGGTGAAACTTCCGCCAGTCCTCGTAAACACACTGGCTCGGCTCTTCACACCCTACCTCTCTGAATGCAAGGTTCCTACTCAATGAAAGACCAGCAAGAGCGTGCTAATGTTCATGAAGGGTGACCTCCGCGACATCGGCAACTATCGCCCAATCTGCTTACTCTCTGTCGTCCACAACCTTTTCACTCGAGTCACCCTAAACAGGATTGACAGAACACAAAGGACAGCCGTGTGAGCAAGCAGGGTTTCGAAAAGGATTTAGTACGATGGACCACATTCATACGATAACAAGACCCTTTGAAGTATCGCGAGAGTACAACAGAACGCTCTGTCTCACTATCATCGATTTAAAGAAGTGGTTTGACTTAAATGAGATAGAAACAGTCATGGGAGCCCTTGATAGTCAGGGAGTTCCAACTCAGTACATGAAGATTCTTCGTGAGCTGTACAAAAATTTCACAACAAAGATGTCACCATTCTACAACGATATTAACATTGACGTCAAAAGAGGAGGTAGGCAAGACGATACCATCTCGCCAAGATTATTTACAGCCACTCTTCACATTCGCAGCCAACATCATGCGAATATTGGAGTGGGATGATATGGGAGTGAAAATTGATGGTGGGGCAATTACACCATCTTCGCTTTGCTGATGACATCGTCCTTATAACACCAAACATTAGCCAAGCGAAAAGTATGCTTGCCGGCTTTGATAAACCCTGTGGGATAATCGGTCTTCGACTAAATCTCACAGAAACGATGTTCATGGAGAACGGATTGGTTTCGTGTACCCCGTTCACGCTAAACGGAATAAATATCTCCGAATGCTCCAGTTATGTCTATCTAGGTTGGAAAAGGAGCACGATGAACGACTTAGCTCCAGAGGTGAGCAGAAGGAAACGAGCGGCTTGGAGAGCTTTCAAGGGCATCGAGGATATAGTGAAGAATACCAAAGACACCCGACTCTGTTCCCACCTTTCCGAAGTACTTCCTGCCCTAACGTACGCGTCAGAAACCAGGTTGTTGCGTAAGCAGAATGAAGGATCACTCAGCGTTATCGAACGCGCAATCGAAAGAACGATGCTAGGAGTATCCCGTGTCATATAAGTAAGGGATGGGATCCGAAGCTCCGATATGCGTCAGCGATCTAAAATCAAAGATGCCGTTCTGTACACCAAACAGTCGAGGATAAGGTGGGCCGGACACGTAATGCGTATGAATGATAACCGGTGCCTACGAACCGTTATTTACTGGATTCCTCGGGATGTCAAACTTACTGCAGAAAGACCACCGACCCGATGGTCAGAGTTTTTCACGAAGAATCTAGAAGAAAGATATGATGCTCGACGAGTCCCTAGAGCGAGCAGAACCCACTGAGCTACTCTTGCACGCGAAAGCGAAAAATGGAAGATTTACTGACGTCCGCTCGAATCGCCCGCCGATCGATGGGACTACAGGTAATACAGGTGATACAGGTGGTGTTTATCGGAGCTTCGGATCCCTTCCCTTACTTGTGTGAAATGGGATACTGCGAGCATCGTCCTTTTGACTGCGCGTTCGATAACGCTTACTGGTCTTTCCCACTTTGCGTAGCGACAAGGTTTCTGAAGCATACGCTGAGGCAGAAAGAATAGTGGAGTTGGAAGTGAGGACTGGTCGGAGTTTCTTCTGATGTTCGGAACTTGTCCTTGCCAGACCTAGTGTTGCCCGATTCTTCACTAATAGAATAGCATTTTAGATTTTAGGAGGGAGAACCAGGCGGTTTTTGAATGCTATTGAAGTCGAATAATAAACGTGAACGATTTTTTGCATTGCCTTTCTAAAAGCTCTAACTGTTCCGTATGGATGTCGGAGTGAAACCATCTCGTAATATAACTTTAATGATGCTGAGATATTTGCAAAACTCCTGATTATTGTAATTGTAATTGTGATATAATATTATGTATTATAGCAAATTATATTATTAATCAAATATAATTAATTATGTTATTAATTAATCATATTATTATTAGTTAATATTAGATATAATAGCGAAGACCTATACCAACCTCGTATCAGCTAAAGAAGATCAATTTATAAGGAACCAACTCAGTTTTGAAATTGGCAAAGTTTCGGTGTGCTTTTCGAACGCTTTTCCCATCCTTTTCAGCTTTGACCATAACTGCCGCTCTTCTTTCTTTAACTTACTTTTATTGCCTGCCTGCATTGTTTTCCAAGTTCGGACATGAGTTGGCGGTTGCCTGTCGTATTCATCGTTGACGCATCAGCTCGAGTATTCCAGGTGACAGACATCCCTGACGTCCCTTGGTGATTCCCGAAATATTTGTTTCCGCAGAGCTGAAATGAAGATGTTAAGTGGATCAATCGTATTCCTCGCCGATGTTATCAAGAACGACATCTTTCCATGAGCAGACCAATGAACTGAGTAAATCACAGACTATTGTAGGCTAGCGATCCCAACGTGCGTTCTTCAGACGTTTTTCTGAGTACCGTTAAGATCTCCAATGGTGACCTTACAGAATATATGGTGTTTTTGTATTACAGTTCTGCTTCCATAAAGAACGACTTCGATTTCATCTTCGTTATAGTTTGAGATCGGTGCGTAGATGACGAAAATTGTCGCAACCACTGTCGATGCACGTCTCTTCAATCGTAAACTGTAAACATGCGATTTCAATCTTAACTCTTTTATTTACTGCCTTTTTCTTCTTAATGACAGGTTATGTTGCGAAATATAACTCGTATGAAATGCTGAGATATTTGCAAAACTCCGGACCACAGGTGTATGCAATGGAGAACGAACACGCGCTGCACGCACGGTAAGAACAACAGCGCGTGTTCGTTCTCCATTGCATACACCTGTGGTCCGGAGTTTTGCAAATATCTTAGCATTTCATACGTGCAATTTCAGTTGTAAGCTATTCAAGTGAATCGAAGCTCTTGGATAAACTAGTATTGACGAAAGTGCCGACGCCACCAACTCCGCTATTTTCGTATCTTCTGAGAAACCGTTCTTCTCCGGTATCATAGGCTGACTTCTTTTATCCACTATTCCGATGACATCCTATCTCATCCCTCTTGACTGCATAAAAAGATCCTCTATTGAAGGTTCAAATAAAAGTGATTGCTAGTGCATTGTAGGCATAGATCATCACTTCAGCTCTCCAGAGATCTAGGCAACCCAGAAGGGTCCTGAAACCTTAGCGGCCACTCCGTACTCATCCTACCCAACATTACGGTATCCGAAGGTCTTTTGGGAACAGGTTTATGAGAGCCAGTTTTTTTTACAGTGTTTAGCATCTAATACCCACACATAGCTTTCTGGGCTCTAAACGCGAGACTGAATATAGTTACAAGTAGATTGCCAATCTCTTACGTATAAGAACGTTACTCCTTGAAGGCCACTCCCAACCCCCTTCCATGTACTTCGCTGTCACCTAATTGCAGAATTCTGGGAGACTTGACTGGTAGAATATAATCAGCATAAACAAGAACGCATTACTGCACGAAAGCGTTAAAATATCTTCGTAAACCCAGAAGGTACGCCTTAAATTTACGCAGGACAAGCGGACTCCCTGTGGATCCACTAGGGTCGGGCCTCGAAGAAGCATAAGGTCGCTTTCGGTCCTCCAGCAACTCCCATCCGCCACCTAGCGATTTTGCATGTTTCGTCGAGACCAATTCGAATGAAATTGCTCTGTGGTGCTGAATCGTGGAGCATCGAAATGCAACAAAGAAGAAACTGCAATTCACATGTGGTCGATCCCCGCGCCCAAGGCTCAGCAAACCTTCCATCCCTCCAGGGTCGGCAAATTGGTGCTAGATCTGGGAGGATTCCAATGCTAGCTCAATACATCGGTAGGCCACTGCGAGTCATTGTAAAGGCTAGATATGCATTAAATCACCTCCAACGATGCTTAATGAAGTCGAATGTGTGGCGCATCCCTCAGGGATTGATCAGCACCGAGAGCTTTATCCTTTTTAACCTTTATCGGTGATTCTGCTTTAATAGAAGTTTAATAAGAAGATTGCGAAATTAATCAATCCAGAAAGTGTCTCGTTTTCTTGAATTGAATCTTTCGAGATAGGCTCTTCACGCATCCAAAAATCAGTGTTTCATGGTTATATTCGTCTCGAAGACTTAGTAACACAGGCAACTCCTCTGTTATGGCGGATTTCTAAATGATCTCTTGTCTTCGTTCAAAGTTATTCTAAAATGGACGTTTTTCAACCTTTTATCTCTCATTTTTTTGTGCTCTCCTTTTTTCATTTGAACACTTGCGAAACGTTCGTCGTCTTGAAATATTTTAATGTTTTCTCCTC